TTTATAAATAAGAGTTACGTTACAATAAATCTTAAAAATAATATATTTTTAAATTGACTTTATTATCCTTAATAATTTGGTGGAACTAACTATTTTACATTAATTATCCTATTAAGGATCTATTATTTTATAATAATATTTTAATTTATTTTTATTATTAATTTATAAATAAGAGTTACGTTACAATAAATCTTATAAATAAAACATGTTTTAATAAAATATGTCTTTTTTTAATTAATTATGAGCTTATACATTTTTTTATTTTTTTATTTTACTTTATCTTTAAATATTTTTATTAAAAAAATATTTTGATTGAAATAATGTAAATTTATAGAGTATTATTATAAAATTATAATATTTTAAAGTAATATATTATATATATCTCTATTATACTGATCAATTTATATTTTACTTTTTATAGAAACATCAATTATTTTAAAATAAATAAGTTTTTTTATTATTTTTAATAATATTTTATTATTGATATTTTTTAATAAATTTATTAATTATATTTTATTTAATTTTATAACACCGAAGCACCACAATCACATAATCTGATAATTTAACTTCAGTTCCAAAAAAAAAAAACACAATCACATAATCTGAATGTGAGAATGGAGGAGAGTTTCCATGGAACAACAAAAAGGAACGACGATAAGGGGAGAGGAGATTGGGGAAAGTTGCATTGGAGAATGGGGAGAGAGCAGAGCACTATTTGCAGCATATATACATATATATATATATATATATTTTTTTTTTTTTTTGAGCATGGTGAAATGTGAGAATAGGATAATTTAGTTGTTATTGTAATGAATGAAACATATATGAATGTTAAGATTTTAATGCATTTAAATCAAGGCAACCGTGACAGCCTACACATTTTTTATTTACGTTTAGCATATTAAAGTAAATTAAATTTTGTGTTTATTATTATTATTTATAATTTAAAATATGAAAAAATCTTAAATTATTAATAAAATTAAGATATAAATAAGAGATTTAATTGTTAATTTTTAATATAAATAAGAGATTTAATAGTTAATTTTTAAAATTTTTATAAATTATAAATTATGAAAAATATTAATTGAGATAAAAATTAATTTAAAGTGTTAGTTGTAAAATATATATATATATAGGGGCAAACAGGGGCTTTGGGCATGGGGGAGGTGGGCATCTTTGGTTTTTAATTTTGGATTTACCTATTTGAGACACATTAAATATATATTTTT